ATGTGGGCAAAATTTCAGGTCGAAACTCCTTAATTTGATTTTTCGGTGAATATCGTATCATAGGTGATAAACCCAGTAAAATGACCATAACTCGAGAAGGAAGGCCCATGGGCCCTTGTCCTTTTGGGCTTTTTCTAGTCTCATTGGACTCTACTTATCGGCAAAATATCGGCTTAAAAGCTTTGGATCACTTCGGGCGGTTCCCTCGTAAGTGCTTCATGAAGAGCGGTAGTAACTGTCATTATCGACAAATGCAGTAAACTTCACTCATATTGTGCTTCAAGACGAACACAAGCAAATAGAGAAGATAAGAATCCAGTAAAATGTGTGTGTGTACAGTTTTTCCGATCTTTATTCAGGTAGATAAAGACGAGGACTACAGGCAATTGTAATAAAGACAAAATGAGATTAAAATGCTTACGAAAAAATAACGATGTGACACGGTTACCGATTGGTGCCATAAAATGATTTTCGGATACTTGTGAATAGTAGTGACTGACCGGTCGTGAAAATATTTTTGTTGCAGCGATTTAACGCATTTCTAAGAAACCGTTTTAAGACACTATTTGTTTGTTAATGAATGTTAAAGTCTTTACTGAGCAAAGTGAACCCATTTTAGAGATATGTAGCAAATATTACGATGTAAATTAGTGGTATCAGTTTCGAGTTTAGTTTCTGTTCTTGGAAACGCGAACCACATGGCAAGTTCCCGAGTTCTGTTAAAGAAGATCCCGGGAATCCAGCATTAGTTCACTGGTGATCAATACTACTCAACAGGAAGATGTTTGCTGATTCTTTTGAATTTAGAGAACGTCTGAATTCCTGTTCAAGCGACGAAGTTTGTGATACAATTGAGCACACGTTCATGCCCAGTGTTTGCAGGTGCATTATACAAGCCAGTCCACGTAAGCCGCGATCGACTTTCAGAAAAACTTGCTCAGTCGGCATCCTCAGATTTAACTCAATTAAAGACATTATAGAGGCAAGTATTTTATGAATTTCTGCACAAACCATTTTGAAAAATATTGAATCCTCGATTTTGAATGACTTTTTAATTAAAATTCATAAAAATTCACATCCTCAAAAACCTAGATTTTGTGGATGCAATATCTCAGAAGCAACTTCACCGATCGAGGTGAAATTTTGCTTGAATACATACAGCTCTTACTTCTTTCTATAAAACGTTTTCAGCTCGAAGGGTTCAGCACATGGTATTCTATTAATATCAAAAAAGCGCGAAAAAAGCACTATTTTTGAGAATTTTAAAGCATATACTTCGTGATCAGAGCACTATAGAAGCCTGAGATTTCCAACGGATGTAGGTCTCATGAAGCCTCTATTCTTTATTAGCTTTTGTTGAATGTGCACATTCATATAAAAGTGTTCTTTCTCGCTTGAGTGAGTTTAAGTCTCTGTTTTTTTGGATCATTCAAGATACAAGTGCGACTTTCGTCCAATTCGCCATGTTATAAGCGATTGATCTATTGTTGAGCACCGTGGACCACACTGTTCAATAGCTCGTTGAATTGCTTCGATAAGCACATCGATCGAACGTTGAGTCCATTGAATATTATCCGTTGTTGTATCGTGATCTAATTTCTCTTTTAGTTGACTGATTTTGAGCAGGGGTACATTCATCATTGCATACTATCGTTCGAGGAATTCTAGAGCATCAAAGACGCATTGAACAAATAAGCTAAACCAAACCAATAGTTGTGTGAAGAAACGCATCGATGCAGTTGTAGTCGATGCAGTAAGTCTTGTGCGTAAATTTTTTTCGATGAGATTTCGTGGAACATCCATTATGATTGCTACACTCGCCGAACGTGTTTGCTTCAGAAGGACTTCGGGCATGTTCAATGGGACTGCAATAGTTTTGTTCACTAAACAGAAAGTATAAACATCGAGACAAACTCGATCTCGCCATATCCATCGACAATGGCTGTTTCGTTCGCAATGAAACAAAGCCGAGACATTGAATTGCCACATTTTTGATATCATATAATTAGAGAAAAAACACCAACTTCTACAAATGTTGAAAACACCAATGAAGAGTAGAATCATTGGCCAGACTGTATTCGTCACTAGATAACATACTACTGTGAATACAATCAATGATAATGGAGAGATTCGTTCGAGGATAAAATGTGCCAGCTCGTCCAGACAAATGATATCTGTCGTGTATAGGAACCACCACATCGTTTGCTTATCATCAGTACTTGATGATCTGAACATATCATCGGGATCCTCCTCGATGGAGAGACAATCACTGCCCAGATATTCGGTGATCTTTCGGGTGAGCGTCGTCTTGTCCACACCAAGTGTACCATGGAGAGCGACAACAACGGTCATGATCAACGAACGCAGCAACCTTCACTTGTGTTGTGCCCAAATGCGAACAAAAGCAAATAGAGAAGAAAAGAGAGATAAAAATGCAGTAAAATATGTGTGTACGGTTTCTTGATCCTTATTCAGATAGATAAAGACATGCATTACAGGCAAAAAATATGGATTGTTATATTCACAAAAACAAAAGAAAAACAATGATACGACAAGGAAACGGATTGAAGTCATAAAATGATTATTCATCGATCGTAGAAATCGTTCTCTTACAGTATTATTTTATACAGCTCTAAGAAAGCGTTTGAAGATATTAATCTGTTACTAATTTAAATCTTTTTTTAAATTTTTTTTGAGACATATACACCGGCCTATGAAGCAAGACAAGAGAAATCCGTCTTGTTTTCACCATGTTCCGCTTCATGCCTATGGTAGTGTTCTGCTGTTCATTAGTGTCAAATTGAATAGTTCAAAAGAGGAGCCATGCAAGGTGAAAATGTTTGTTTGGTCAGGTAGCATGAAAGCGATCAGATGTTGTTATAGATATCTCAAGTGGGAACGTGTACGATCAATGAAAGAATAGGGTTTGGGTATGGGGTTTGGGTGGAGTCTATGCGGTTTTTGATTTCAAACTGAATTTTACCGAAAAAAAGAATCTTTTCTTTGAAAGACTTGGGGGGAGGCGGTTAGGGGGGCTAAAATTAACCGATGACTCCAAGAAGTATTAACAGGGTGTGGGTGTAGATGTGTGCGGGTCTTATCTTCACCAGCAGCCGCACTCTGGTCACTCCCACACCCAGTCACATCGACACCGACATGCACACCCTCATCATGAACAAAGTAGAGGTCTTGATTTTGAGGAGAGAAAATCACAGAGGTTTTTTGAAGTCGGAGTGAAAATAATGTGATTCTGTACTTCTCTAATGACAATAATTTCAAACAAAAACCATGCTCTATGTGCTAAAATTATCTACCAAATATTCACCACTTAACATTTGAAAAATAGTCATTATCTATAATTTTCTCCATTATTTTATTGGGAGGTTTGTGTTTTACTTTCACCAAGCAGAACAGATATTCATCCAGATACATTCGTAATATTAAACCATAATTATTCGAGACTAATCGTTAAATCAAATCGTATTTAGTACACATTGGTTTCATGCGATAGGCCAGTTCTGAATAATCATCACTACTTTCAACTTAATCGCAGAACCTTTAATAATGGTAATGTAATACACTGAAAAAAAAAGGTGACATACCGAACCATTTTGTTTCGAAAATCTAAACCTTTCAAAAGGTTTCGTATGAACTTAAGTCATCTTCATAATGATTTTTAGTGGTCTAGAAATCTTTTTTCTAGAGGTACCGTAGATCTTCTACAAAACCAAAAAAGGTTTAGAATCATTTCAAAAGTCGAAACTCTTTTAGGTTTCATACTATGTACGAAACTTTTTTTAGTTCCGTAACATGTACAAAATCTTTTTTAGCCCAGGAACCCCTCGTCGGTTTATTCGAAATGCATAAGAATATCAATAGTTACAAAAAAATGCATATCTCAATGATGTCTATACATCGCACTGTTCAAAAACGATTGCCAAAACAAAATTTATTCGCACATTTGATGAAGCATCGATTACGTATTTTTTCAATTATTCGAACGATGTGAGGTACAAAAAAGTGTAATCCAAGTGACAGACCAGCATATATGCTTAAGAAAGTAGTTAGAAGCTCTAAAGCATCAAATCGGTAATAGTATGTGTAAGTACATCGCATTGGTTGACAAGCATTGAAGAAATTTTCGTAGGAGATGTTACTAATCCAAGTTTCAATAAACATATTGTAAGCCAATGTTTCAATTGTGTCATTGACAGCAAATCGAGTAGCAGTGATGTTCAAATATGCAGGACTACCAATTGCATTAGCCCATTCTTCTATGGTCAAGTCGCTGTCGATGTTCATTGCGTTTCGAAATTCATTAATACATGTTAGAGAATAGAGACAAGACAGAGAAGATCGTAAAATCGTTTCCAATATAAAACAACTGAGTACTAAACCTTTGAATGTAAAATAGGGTTTAGAGTCATTAAAAAGTTGCGCCGGTACTGAACAAGATCTTGTTGTAGAACATGAACAAGCTGTATTCTGATTAGTGAAGTCATAGCTTATAGGTATACTTAAAAATGTAGCGTTCAGGCCTTTGTCATTGTCAGTCACAATGAATCTCCAATTCGATGAAAACACGTCCATGAATGCATTACCTTGTATAGTTGTACGAATAAGATCTAGTGTTCGACGAAATGCAACTGAAGCCGATGTTTTGAATCGATCGAGAGTCATTTTTATCTCTTTATCAAATTGTATGCGAGGCGTCACTTGGTAGACTAGCATAGTTGATGCTAGAAAATCTTGAATGCTATCTTCTACACTCTTTCGTGCTGCACTACACAGTCGCTGAAGACCATTGACAAAGGAATTCTTGATTGATGAAAAATCTCTTGCATAAGTAAAAGAATACCCAACATCCCAATTAAAAGCATCATCGAAGCATATTGTTAGTAGAGAGGTAGTACATATTTGATGAAATGAGTTAACTTTGAGTTGAATGAGAAACGCATTGTAGGCAATCGATATTTTTGTACATGGACAATTCAAATTATCCGGATACAGACTGAACAATTGTTCATAATTTGCCATTGATGGATACCAATATGTTTTGGTTATACTATGATTGATGAACGAGGAATAAAATATTAGCAAACTGAGAGAGCTCATAAGAAGAATAAGATAGATTCGAGTATATAATTGTTGTTTTTTTATTTCATCTGGATCAGCCGAATTTGATTCGAAAAGATTTCGTGTTTTGACATATGTAATAATCTTCTTTGTAAACTGTTCCCACCAAATGTCATTCACAGGTAGTACTGAAATAAACATCAATTATTCAACAATTTTAAATTCTTATTTGCAAAAGAATCAGTAACCGTGATCTAATTTTGAAATAATCAACTTTAGAAAGCTTTTTTGAAAGAAAAAGAGTTGAAGCTATCTGTACAAGCTTTTTCTATCGAAAACTTTATCTATTGAAATAAAATCAACTGTTTTCAATACTCTCAAGAATGTAGTCTGTAGAGCTTATTTACCGTGAATACTGTTCCGATTTTTCCATTTTCGACGGCAAAGTAGGACCGACTTGCTGATTAACGGCACAGATAATCGAAGACCACGATTGAGTCCACTGCAGACAGAAACAAGTAATAGAATCGCAAATAGAATATTACGACGTCGTACCATTGTATATGAACAACTAATCGGCACACATTGTTCAAAAAACAGATCATAACGCTGGTTGCTAATGAATGATTCTTCAATGAACATTGCATCAAGTAGAACAGTTAAATAATTATCATGAAATCTAGTTGGTAATGAACTATCTAGTGATTCAAGTTGTGGCGAAAGTTGAGAATTATTGATTACAATAGCGTATGTTGCTCGAATATTTTCCATGTAGGTCTTGTTGTACCACCAGACAATTTCAGACATCGAGAATCCAATCGAAGGCATACATCCAATCCTTATCTCATAAAAAACTTGTACAAAATCAAATACACTTGATCCATTTGTATATAAGATAGGTCTCAAAACGCATTCATGAATGTCTCTTGCACACGAACATGGATCATTGGAGCCCACAGATGTATGAGTTATAGACGCTTTCCCTATAATCTGCACATCATTAATATTTACTTGATTGTCATTCGTTACTGTAATTTGATAATTGACATTTGTTGCAGTCAAAAAACGATTGATAATACCAGCAATATCAACCCATTTCAAAATGCGTGCATAAATATTTCTTGTTTTATTTATAAATGCGTTGGCCAAAGTTTTAGTTTCTTGAATGAAGAGTGATTTGGGAAGAAGATTATTCTCGATGAACAGGCTATTTTTAAAGATACGTTGACCATCGGCAATATTAGCTTGAGCCAAAGAACAAAAAGTAGCCAAAAGTTGAAAATACCAGAGTCCTATAGAACGAAAATCACGTGAAAAACCTGTCTCTGTCCAAATAGGTACATGATTGGGATCAAATAATAACAGATAATTGAGCCAATTGGATGAAACTAAATCACTTGAACATACTTGATGTAAGACAAATGTTACATTAAGAAATGCTTCATAAGGAATGGACAAATTTGCACAAGGACATTGTATGCTAGTTGAATATTCAGCATATAATTTTTCATAGGTTTCGAGAGATGGATGCATGATTATCACCATTTGATTTTGTTCTGATAAAAATATATAAAAACCAATAATAACTGAACATATAACCAATGTAATAATAAAGAGTCGTGTTGATAAGATCTCATGTTTGACATTTGCTTCTGTCCGAGATGTTTTACTTTCGAAAAGATTTAATTTTATAAGTTTTTGAGAGATTATGTGTGGCAAACGTCGAATATGATTCATCATAACCGGCACTAAGAAAAGTTAAACTTTAAATTTTAGGAAAAAAGCTTTTATGATTAATCACATTGTTAGAACAACCGTAAAACAACGTCTTAGTTTTCGATTCGGTGTTGAGACAGTTAACATGAAAAATAATTAGGAGTACTGCCTTATAACGACCAAAAGATGCAGCTTACTCACTCTGAATGTTATAAATCCTATAGTTGCTACGCTCACTTTGACACTTATTCATTTTAGAAAAATATGTATTAAAATTTGATTTATCTAACATTATGATATTTTTAAAAAATGTATTCGCATTGTTAATAATACGAACAAATTAATAGAAAAACAAGTTTAATATTCTGTTATCATAGTTCTAATTGGGATTCTTTGCAGTTTAAAATTTGATAACTGAAACGAAAATATATATTGAAAAATGTATCTTTGATACTCAATTTATCTGTCGCAGGAAACAATCAATAAAAATTCAATCTTCGTTTCATTTTTTTTTATGTAGTATATTAACATACCAAACTTTTAGTTAAAACTTACATTCACTATGTTCTTCGAAAATATACTTGAGTTTCATAAAAGAAACAATTACGGGATTTGGTAGGGTAGAAAGAAATAATCAATGAATTTTCTCGTCGTCTATCTAAATCTGATTCATCATGTCACTCATTTCCTTTTAGAACTTACACAGATGTCGTCGAGAAATCACAACATTCTCTAGTATGTTATCTTTTTCTGAAATTCTAGTTGTCCACCGAATGAAAGCTTGTGCAATAAATGGTGCAATAAGACGCAGTATAAGCGAAAGTGTACCGAATGCTCCAACTGTTGTAGTAATAATAAATAAAATAGAAAAGCGATGCATGTATGAATAAGTGCAATAAGTAGGATCACATTCACTGTAAAATAGATTAAATTGTATTTCAGTATGCCATTGATCTATCATAGAATTATCGAGAAGTGTTTGCACAGTAGAATTGAACAGAAAGTGTCTATTCGAAGAGTTTGACAACAAGTTAACTGTTGTCGTTAATTGTTGATGCAGAAGTTTAAAACATGTTGAATTATAGTAACATTCTAATGTTGATGCTAGCGTACTATCGACAATGTAACAATCAATAATCATTCCCGGTATTGATACTAACAGATTTTGACTATTTTTAATGAAAGCTGGGTGCGGACATCCGGTTATATTCAAACAAGAACAATCATCAAATACTACGGGAAGCATTTTTGGATAAGTCCAATTTCCATAATTCAATGGTGGATAATGAAGATAAAAATTGGTTGACAAAGCAGATACAAATTGATTTTCGGATGTTAATCTTCGAATAGCATGTAAAGTGCGAACTAAGGATACTTGAGCCAAAGAAAGTTGATTATTAAGTGCTTCTTGAACTTGATTTCTGACAACCTCATCGGGAATTGCTATTGGACTAAGAATGTGAGATCGGCCAAAACTTGAAATAGCATCAGTCCAAGTATTCTTACTAACGCTACAAAGGCCTGCAATGACTTGCCAGAAATGACTAAGATAAAAACGAATATCAAATACAGTTGGGAAAGAAGTAGGCTTTGGAATAAATATTGAATCGATCCAATCTTGTGTAACAAAGTGACTTGAACATACTTGATGAAAATCAACATAAGTTTTGACAAACGTTCCATAAGCAATGCCAATCTTCGAACATGGACATTTCAAAGTATTCGAATATTTTTTCCACAAATCGATAAACTTGACATATGAAGGTGAATATTCAATGATATTATCTGTTCGTACAATGCATGCAGAAACAATGGCAATAAGAAACAGAAGACTAATCATTGATATAATATAGATACGCGTTGCAAGTTGTTCCCAAACAGTAGTTTGTGCATTGCTTGAGTGACTTTGAAATAGATTTAGATGAAGAAAAGATTGCCACAAAAGTTGTAATAGATTGCACCCCATTGATATTATAATCTTGTTCTCAAAATTTCAGAAAGCTCTAAACGACAAATATTCGAAGTAGACAGGTAACTATTTTTCGATAGAGTAAAATAAGTTTACAAACCATGAATGATTTATCCATCATCAGATAAGCCTAATATCAATAGATGAAAATTCCAGACAAATTTGAAGATAAGAAAAAAAGTTTTCGCTATAAGGATGAGAGAGTGAGTTCAATATTCATTTTCATTCATGTTCTATGAGAGAGTTCTATGCAGCTTTACATCTACTTGTATTCTAAAAATGAAAAAAGGACCTTTTTGTTTCCAAATAAAACACACTGAAAATGCTAGTCGTCGGAATGAACCGTCATTCGACACTATTTTTATAGTATTATTTTAATGATAGAAAAATAGTAAGCATCATTATCCACAGATATCTGCCAAATATTCTGTTAAAATACAGTGTGAACCGATCTCGTGAAAATATATACATGGAAAAAGACAATAAAACGGAGGAGAAAATCATAAAAGTTGAGCACAACATTTCCTAACAATACTATGCCATGAGTGAACCACCATGTTACCAGTCAGAATTCTTTACTCTCATTTCTTTCATTTTTTAGGAGATGGAATCGGCTACTTCCTACTTCTAATTAGAATGTGTCTTTTCTTTTATTTGTGCAGTGATTATGATATTAAAAATTTTTCTTCGACTTTCTACCTCATATACACTAAATAATTTCCATTTTTCATGATGAGTAATTGTTTCTTTTCTTTCTCTCTTTTTCATCTCTTCTGATGCGTTCTATGGAAGAATAGCTTTTCTCAGATAAAACGCGTGTATATTGTTTTTTGATTGTTTGGAAGCGTTCTAAACATTTTGTAACTGCTGAATTTCATCATTATAAAGAATTATTTCAATGGTGATATCGAAAAAGGAATCAACAACAAGAAACAAAACAATAAATAAACTAGACGGAACTACAAAGAAGGCTATAAGTAATATGCTTAAAAACTAATGAATTTTTTTCTGAAATGAATAACTAACCATAAACAAAAGAAATATCATAAAAGGAATTGGAAGAAGCGATAACTCAAAATTATTATATTGCATGCTCAACATGTCTTTCAATTCGTCAGTATGTTCAAAGAATAACTCACATCCATCTAAATCCACATGAATGATGATGCTGAAAACTTTCAACTGTTAATGACGTTAACGTATGAGTATTGTTCCCTAGAGGTTTGCGATCTTCATAAACCTAGAAAGTCTAAAAAGTAAACATGGAAAGAAAAAAAAACGTTATTCTTGAAGGATATGAATCTCATTTTTATTGTCTTGATATTGATTGATGATGGCATCTAGTAAATTAGTTTTTTAGGAAGAAATTTTGATAACATTGCAAAAAAATTTGTAAAAACACATCTCTAGAACAACTATTCTTGCAAATAATAGAGAGGAACCGACTCTTTTTATCTAGTGTTAGTACTTCACGAAAAAGACTAATGTCTACTTATATTTATTTTGTTCTTACCCAATAGAAAAAGCATTGCTCGTTCAGAGAAAGAAAAAAAAACTTCATCTCATTTAAAAGCGCTCTGCTGCTGTCATTCGTATCGACAAAAGCCTACTTGGCAAATACGACTCAAAAATTATTGTTGTTAACTGTTGCTAAAAATGAGATGATATTTATTTAATATTGTTCTTTTAAAAAGAAAAAGGCGCTGAATTTCTGTCTTGCGAAGAACAATCAGTAGCAGGAAAAAAATTCTACTTTATGAATTTTTTTTATTTATTCTCGTTTTTATGGAAATACATACAAGTGTTCAAAGACGATTACATTAGTTGTAGTCATAGAAACAAAGCCACTTAACAAGAAATAGTTATTTACTATCATGGCCAGATCCCGCTTGGAGTTGGAACGTATTCCTTGTCTAGCTTTTTCAAATACGTTAAATAAACAATATATGATTAGAAACTATCGAAAGAGTCATTTCGAAACTTTGATGTATTTCCCAAAATATTTTGTCTGTAATTATTTGCCTTTCAACTGTTGCAATAATGAGCTGCCAAGTATTGACATTAATTTTCGAAATATATGTCATGAAGGATGTGGGTGTGAATGCGAGTGTCTCGTCTTGCAATATTCACACATTAGTCACATCTTCACCTTCATGTTCACTTCTATACACACCCACACCCACATCCATACTATATAATATAGTGAAAGTCTTGAATATGTCGTTTTTCGTGTCGTTTTGCCATTATTCGTTATTTTGCCGTTCTTTTGAATGCAATAAACTGTATGTCCGTAGGATTCCAATTAAAATTATAAGAGAAATGTGTCGTAAACAGTTTCTCATGCTCAACCCTCGTTCTCAAGATAAGTTTATGGCGTATTTATGTTCTATCTTCGGTTACTTGATGATTTTTCATCGCTTTGTTCCGAGACAAATTGGATTTGGGATATGAAATATTACTTCCATATTCTTAGTACTGTACGAGCCATTTTTGCTGAAAATTCTCTAGTTTCCATCGAGAACATGCCGAAAATCGTCGTATTCTGATTGGAATCATCAATCTGACGAGGGAACATATCCAACAGTCAAATCGCTTTTGCATCGGCTATAGGCTCAAACGATAGACCTCGGTGAGTTATTAAACACCCTAGAAGGGTTTGGTTGTCTGGGCCTCCTAAGCAGAGATATAGGCTAATTACTGTATTTATTTTACTGTATTAT